ATGCCAAACTAAATATTTTGGATATTTTTGTATGCAATAAAAGCTAGGGGGGAAAAGCTAACTACTCAACCCAAACCAACTTTATTTCCCATTTTTGGATTCTGCAACCAAACTGAGTAGTCCGGCTCAGTTTTGTAAATGGATCTTCCTCCTTCTGACAATAATAAAATTAAATATTTGAATGATTTCTTTAAAAATTAGACGGTAACTATACTGTTGTCTATGGAGAAATTGATCCTGCTATTTTAATGAGGGATAACAAAATAGCTTTATTTTTCTATCTGATAACTTACATTTATATACAACAGTCTCCAGCAACAGTTCAGGTGTTCAATCATAGCTCCCACACAGTGGTATTATATGCAGTAATTAGTTCATTTTCTTAATATTCTCCAATATACTCTAAGGTATGCTCAAATACTCTCTTGGTGGCTGTAGATTAATACCGACCTTGTAAAAACAATTTCCATGTGCAAAAGACCACAAAGCACTTAAAAAAAGAGGTGGTAGTCTCTTGCACACCATTAAAATTTTTGCATCATCAGGCAGGGATCCTTTTCACAGTCACATCTACCCTGTATTTCTGAGGTTGATATACTTAGGACTCCCTGGTACATTGACCACCCAGCCCAGCCCAGCCTGCCCTGCAATGCAGGAGCCACTGAAGCTCTGCTGCAAGCTCCTTCTCCATTCCAGGCTCCCTGACATAGGTGGTATGTCTTACTGTTCTTGGGCAAATTAACATTTAGGAAGCTTTCTCTATTGAGCAAGAATCCATTGCAGCACTGGTATTATTTGCAGAACAAAAAAAGATCATGCCTGCTCCAAAAGCCTAAAGAATCAAGGCTATTATCTTACAGGACAATATTCACCCACCTTGCTCTCTCATCCCTGACCATGGTTCCTCAACATGCATCCTTCTCTCAAAGTTACTTATACATCTTAAAAGCATGACTTGGGACTTTGGTACTGTAGGCCAGTCCTTACATTGCCAATTATACCAAATTATTCTATCTTGTCTTACAGTGTTCTTCATGACATTTCAGTTCATGCATTTTTGGCATATCCATCGTGGCTGAAGTCTTTGTGTATTACAGGGATAATAACTGCAGTGATATAAAAAAGTCTAATATTTTATGGAAGCAAAAGGGAAGCCAGTCATGAATAGGGGGAAAATGAGTTAAGAAATATTAGGTTTGGATGGTGAAACTGGGAGAGAAGAAGAAATGCAAGGGTATAGGCATAGATCCCTAGGTTAGAAATCACTAGACAGGAGTAACATTTAGAAGGTCTTGCCAGCAGTTTGTGTTAGAGATTACCAGTTATTATGACTTTGGTTGAGAGATAATAGAAACAACAGTCCTGCCCATGGCCATCTCTATTCTTATCCATACTGCCTTGACAAAATATATCTGAATAGAAAAATATAGATACATGCAAGGACAGAGCAAAGACAAAGTGAAATCAGAAGAAAAAGAAAAAAAAAAACCTGCACATTTTAAAGCCATAAATGCAATAGGACAAAATGGAAAAGAGAAACTAGTGTTCTCTTAAAAAAACAATTCTGACAAAAAAGACTGTTACCGGAGCAAGCTATGTCTCAGGAACAATTAATGAAAAATAGCAGTGTGGGATTTTTTCTCATTGTATTTGGAAACTTTAAAAGTTAGTGTCACTACAAAGTGGTAAACAGTATATACAGGTGCTATTTCATCACAGTCAACCTATGAGGAGAAACAGAGGTCAGCAGAACTTTAAAAGGCAGATATGACTTACTCTGACTTTAATTTGCTTTCAAAAACATGGTCACTGACCCTTTAAATCACAAGCCAATTACAAGCATTGTAGTGCTATTACTAATTACATGCTGAGAGTGTAAATTTAAAATGGCAATTTCAATATTCAGTTCATTGGGAGAATGCAGGAAAATGAAATTGCATACTAATTAGTTCACGTGTGTCAGATACCTGAAAGATTAGAGAAAAAACCTCTGCACTCATTACAAGTGAGTTATAAGCAAAGCACTCAAACCTTTCATTTGCCAAGCTGCATATAAATAAAGAAATTAAATGACAAAGAAATTGATCATGACGGAACAAGGCAAAAATAGCTACAGGCCTGTACGTAATTATACTTCGTGGGACTTTGCCCATTACACATAGCTTACTTTAGAATTTATCTAGCAACTATAAGAGGGTAACAGGCTACTGCTTCAGGTTCACTGTGCTAAATGTTAATTTACATTTCCTAAAAAAGGAGTTTCTGGTTTAGTAGGTTTCCATTTAGTCTCTGCCAAACATTCACACCGTTTTTCAGGAGCCAACTTCTGGACCAGCTGTTTCGTAACTCAGACCAACATGGCAAAGATCCCATACACAGAAACCTCACATTAGCGTCTGGGAAGAAGCTGGTGACACAATAACAAAAGTAAAAACTCAGAGTGGGCTGTTGTTAGAGGGAGCATTTCTCTCCCAAGACCACAATGAAGGTAGCCAGAAACTGAGCACAAATCAGAGTCGTCTGACTTTTTGTACACTTCCACAAATGCTTATGAAGTATCTCCCTTGCCATTACAGAAGCTGTACAAAAACAAGGTATGGGATTTCTGCTTCTCCTCTTCTCTCCATAGAAACTGTTCACCCATATAAGGGTCAGGTAGTGTCTCTCTCTTAGAGTGTATTTCATGCTTGAAGAAGAAGACAGTGCTCTGGTGTAAAGAACTACTATGCAGTGCATAAAGTGTGAGTTTGTGGGGGTCTGTATCCTTCCCAAATCAAAACAGGGTTTCTGCAGAACCCTAAAAAGCACTTTTTCTCTACAAGTATTATCTCCCTGAAAAAATGTAGATTTTTTGTTCCCAGATGTTTTAAGGAGAAAAGTCTTCAGAAAAGGGAAAAAAAAATCCTCTCAGGGTTTAAACTCCTGTTTTTAAATTGCAAAGATTATTTTTATCTTTGCTCTGAACTAAAAAGAAAAAATAAAATACTCCACAAGTTGTCTGACAATTACAGACCAAAGTTTAATTTAGAAGCAATATGAGAAGAAAAAGAAGGGAATACTAGGTACTTAGTACACATTAATCATGTCACTTAATTAGCTTCTAGAAAGTCCTTACATACTATGGCTGTCAAAATTACAGAATAACCTGCATGGGATTGGCACTACCTAGATTAAGTCATTAACTCCAAAAAAGAACAAATTGTTCAAACCTGATGCCATGGGCTGAGATTTGTAGACAGTTTTTCTCCATTGGTCCAATCTTCCTTCCAGGTAAAAGCAAAGGGAAGACTTCCCTGGGAGCAAAGTCCAAGGCAGGGATAACTCTGGTCTGGGTAAAAACCCGCACAGCTGGCTGACAGCTGCCTCCACGGTGGGTACTGGCTTTGCCAAATACAAACGTGGAAGTAACAGACCATTAGCCATCCCCATCTAGTTCATCTCCTGGTAAAGACATGCCTAGGGGACCAGTGCTAAATGATTTTGAATTTTTTTTCCAGCTCATTTAATAAAGACCACATCCTAAAGCAGCCCAAAAACTCTTTTAACACTGTCTTTTTCATTATCCATTAGAGTTACATTAGCTTTCTACTCCTCTGAAGATAATGCTGCTCAAGTCGCTTAGTGTTATCCTTTCCAGTTCTTTTTCCAGGTATAAATTTGAGAGACCTCCTAAGCCCTCTGGTCTTTACAGAAGAAAACTGACTTAAGACATATTGAAGGGTCTTTGTGTTTTCACACTGCAGTGAATAGCAAACAGTAACATCAACTTCATTTTTCAGAACTAACAAAATCCAGCACTCTCACCACACCAGGTTCAGAAAACTTCACCAATCAGTGCTTTGTGCCTGCTGTTTAAACAAGAAAAATGAACAGATAATCCTGTACGCTTTTTCTCTGCATATCTGGGAACCACTTAGAAAAATCAGAAATGGTAATCAGTATAAAAACTTGAATATGTACAAAAATTATGCCATGTACATGAAAGTAACTTCAAGAAAAGTGTGTCTGACATACCCAAGGGACATATGGATAGTTCAACTTAGTGCTGGTAGACAAGATGCTCCAGTACAATCTTTTGTTACTCCTGTATTGGGTTCACTGGCAGGGAAGTACCCTCTTCACATATTGAGTATACTGATTAGTGCAAAAAGTTTTCCCAGAAGTATCTAACATCACCATTATTAACAAACAGCTGAAAATGCCAAAGCTTAGCCCAATTCACAATCATGAAAAGGAAACACCATAGAAGTAAAGAGCTACAGCAATCACTAGATAATCATTAAATCTTCATCAAAATACAGCCACAGGACTTCATATTCACTGCTTCATGACTTTTACTGAAGTCATTTGCTGGGCGCAGAGAAATCTGGCCCACAAGGAGGGCACTGCCATTTGAATCATTCTAGCAATAACATCCTTGAGTGGGAATGACAAAATGCGTACTTTCAGCCCTATGGATGTGGTTGAACTAACAGCTATTTCAACCTTCATTAAAACAGTTCTTGTTACTTCCAGCACGATGCACACAATGCTTAACCTGTGTGCCCCGAGCAGCTCAGCAGAGAGGACAAACTATTCCTGCAGGCTCTGGTACAGCCAAAACCACATTAAAGCACTCTAGAATGATGCCCGAGGAAGGCTGCAAGTGTCAAAGTATTTCTACCAAGAGATATTGCTGCGAAATGCTACTAAGGACCTAACGAGCAAATGTAACCTATGTGGAAAGCAGCTTCCTTCAAAAGAGTCTTTATAAATTTGCTTCCATGTTTCACAGCCACAATGGAACATATGCACACATTTTTTAAATAAAAAGATTTGTGCACTTGTAAAGTCAAGATTATTACTGTTTTGCAACTAAATAGTCCCTTTTAGTCTAGGCTACATTTCTGACAGTGAATAAGAATCTAGCTGTTAGTTTACTACTTGTCTTCACCAGTTTCTTAAGTGACTCTGGCAATTGAATCAAGGGGATTTTTTTCCTCCTCAGGTCCATCTGTTACCTGAATCCATGGCCATCTGTCATTTTCTGCAGCAGTCCAAGCATTCACAAGACCCTTCTTATTAAGTCGTGCATAGTATGGATACCATTTCTGGAGTCCAAAAAGAGCTCGATGAGTGGATGACGCAGTAATTTGTTGGTTTGACACAATTCCTCCTTCTATCCCTAGTGGGCCAGAGCATCCTGCAAATAGAAACAAGAAAAGAAATTAATGAAACTGAAATGATCAACTCTTCTGAGTCCCAAGTGGTTGTAATTACAAATAGCATACAAATAGATCCAAAATGTCATGTCAAATACGTTACTATAAGAGATTTAAAGCACTTGAGTAGCATCTTCTTTTTGTAGAAATGAAAAAAAAAAAAAGTACAAAAATACTGCTTTTAAATAACTATTCTCAATGCAAAATTAATGAAATAGATTAAGCTTTCAATTTCTTTTAGCTTGTTCTATCTGAAGAGTTCTGAGTTTGGGTTTGATAGATACAGTGAAAGAAAATGATCCTTGGATTCAAATCTTGATACAATTGCTAAAAGCAAATTTCAAATTCTGTAATTACTGCAAAATTCCATGTTGCTCCTCTTGCCATAGAGGTTAGCATTTAGCCAATATGGTACAAAGCGTCATTGCAGTTATCTTTAGAAATATGAAACTAGACACAAGATATTGTTCAGTCATATTAAAAATAAAGGTCTTATGCATTTAATCATCAAGTCACAAAGTATGTATTTAACGTATGTATGTAATGTGAAAGTGTTCATAATTTTATATGTGGTATTCATCATTAACTTACTCATCTGAAATACTTGTAGATATAATCTTTTTTAATGTCAAGATATTTCTGCACACATTGTTTTCTGAAACCACTCCCTTTGGGTACAAGAAGAATGGAATTCAATTACGGTGAGAAATCCAAACAGAGAAAATGTTGAAAATTCATTATATACAACTGATTGGCAGTCTACCTACTATTAAATACCCCCAACCACTTTCAAGTAAAGAAATTTTTTTTCTCAACTCAATTCCGATGCAGAGTGTAAAGAGAAGCTAATTGCAGAACTACTGCAGCAGCTGATCTTGCTCAGTTGCCTGAAAGATCTTCTGCTTTGTGGGTCAACTGCACTTCAGCAATTTTGAACACAGCAGGACAGATGTTTACTTACACTTTAGGCTTTCTCAGAAGCCCAGCAGTTTTTCACCTCAAGTAGTACCCAAGAATGAACTCTGAAATGGTACTGCTATGAAATCCTTACATCACATGGCCAGAAAGTCACAAATAATTTAATTCCTCATTAATTTAAAGGTACAGTGAAGAAAAAGTGACCAGTGCAATTTGCTCCGCTTGGCAGAAGGTGAGGCAGAGAGACAGCGCTGGGAGTCATTGGCAATACAACCCTAAAGTATTGTGTGTCACTGATAATGGAGATAAATATAAAGTAAATTGCAGTTTTAAGTTGATTATGGAGCAAGGCCATGAACAAGCACGTGCTTGTGCTCTGAAAAGATAAACCAAAACCCCCACACAAGTGGTGTTACAAATGTGCGTCTTCTTAAATACAAAAATGGACTTGCTTCCAGGGATGCTTAAATGAAACACTGACCCCACTGAAATTAACGACTGACTTGCACCATGCAATGATTTCATTCACATTTTCAATATTCCACTAAGCTCAGCTAGAATCTCAAGTCCTAGTGATACTTTTCTGTGTCATGTATCACCCAACAATCAAGGTGGTGCATTCAGCACTTGACTAATAACTCTGTTCATGCTGCACAAAATATAACAAAATGCAGCTCTCTCCTGCTGCTGTGCCAGGTGTGTAGTAGTGTCAGAAAAAAACAAATTCTTTGTCACCAGTGTAGGCAGGCATAATATAGGATGTATTAAAAAACCCCACATATGTTGGAAAAGTGTAATTTTTCATTGTGTTATCAAGCGTTACCTAAAGGTTGAAAGACCTGTTAAAATCTTAGCTCTGTTTCTGAAATCTTTTCATGTAATCAGAATAAATTCCTTTGGTGTATAAAATGCCATATCTGCTTGCAAGCCAGAGGTAAACTACTCTACTTTCCTAAGATAATTGTGTATGTTCAAAAGTTTCTTAAAATATCTTTGTCATTTCATAATGGAAAAGAAAGTGCACACAGGTGTGTCTGCATGTACATGCAACTCACAAAGACATACAGGTACATACGTACAGGACTGATTCCAGCCTACCATGAAATTTATCACCCCTAACAGCTGGTATCTTAGACTGATAAACATTTAAAAATAGAGATGTGAGAAAACAGAGGAGAGGTTTCCAAAAGGAGCTTAAAAAGGAGGTATGGAGCCATGGCAGGTGTTTTCATACAGATGTGCAGCATGCACCTGTATTTTGTCACCTCATAGTGAGGAGCACAGGGATGAGGACCCTGCCAACCCTGCTGGCATTACTCAGGGACCTAACGCGAAAAATGTGTGCACAAAGACAGGGCCTCAACATGTATGAGGGCCATTTTTGAGTGGGGTCTAGAATAAAGGTATTTGGCTTCAGCAGATAATTTTCAAAAGAAGAATATGCATTTGATGCCAAGACCCTTGATCTCCTATAGACTCCCAGTTTTGGCAGACTTGGAAGAGATGTGAATGTCTTTGTTTTTTTGCTTATCAGCCTCTGTTTAAGGTGCAGAACTTTGTGGAAAGTTCTGATTTGAAGGCATGCTAGTTCTCATGCTTGAGGTGTATTAAATGGTGTTTGAAATATGTGTGAATTCCGTAAAAGAGAAAAGTGAATTTTCCTTTCTAAATTGAAGGCAGTTAAATTATCAAGTACAGCATTTAACTCTACTTAGACAGTTATGACCATATATGGTCAGAAGTGTTTACATTCCTTAGCTTTAGGAGGCTTATTCCTGAAATCCAAAGCAAATCTCTGCCTTCAGGGAATAGGCACTTCATTGCACAAGCTTCTTATTTTAACTGCAGTTCCAGTCTTGGTTTGTCATGTTGGTCAGTTTTTCAAAGTGAGTTAAACACAAAATTTACCACTCCTAAAAATTAAAACTACCACATTAGATACTTTCTACTTCAGTGTTCAGTTCAAGCACAACAACATGAGATGCACAGGAAATAAGAGAATGGATAAGAATTTCTAAACAATACTAGCCTTACAATGTAATATATATGTACACATCACTAAGATCTGTCTTTAGAGGACCATCTTTTTTCACTGCCCTGAAGGACATCGATCATTCTCATGAGGTGAGAAGCCTGGTTTAAGCTTAAGTTTAATCCTGCTCAAGACCTGCTCGCAGATGCAAACCACAGAACTTGCAATGCAATCCTACTCTGATCATAGCAGTGCTGATGAATTGAGCAATTTCCTAGGCACAGGCCTGGCAGATGGGCCTTGATAAAGCCCATCCAAGGCTATCTTTTCCTGGGATATAAGATACCTCCACATGCATCATGAGGATTTTTTTTTTTGAGCAGTCTTAGCTTGAACTTGACTACATTTAACCTTCTGTTTCATAGTCAGGTCAATCTGTATTTGAAGATATTTTCAGAACTCCTCAGTCCATTTTATTAATGCTAAGTACATTTTTTAAATTATCAGAACATTTTGCTGTCTTTCTTATTTATTGAACAGTCAGGACTTCAGCAGAGGTTTTGCTAGGACTCTGCAAGTAAGCTCCTTCTCCTCCTAAACTGCCCATTTACTCACCCTTTAGGTCTTTTTTTTTAATCAGACGTTATCCTACAAGAAAACTTTTCAATTTACTTTCTTTTATCAGTTGAAAGGAAATAGTTGAACACATTTTTGGACAAATATCAAACAACAAATGGACTTCCCTTAGCCATATGCTCATTCATTGCTTCCAAGTATTGCAATAGATTTGTGAGTCACGCTTTCTCCTTAGAAAAACTCTAATGGAGCTATTACTCTCTAAATTCTCAAGAAATTTACTTTGCCTGAAGACTCTCAGCTGAATAACCTACCTCTGGTTCCATCAAACATATCAGTAAAGGACTGGTTACAGACAAGCTTCTGCACAAGATATTTGAGACACAAACAATACTTTCCTTCAAGTTAAGATACAAATTATTTCTTTTATTGCTTAAGAGCTGTGATATGCCACTGACTACTAACAATGAAGGAAACAAGCAAATGCAGCTTTTGGAGATTGTTTGTCTTTTAAATAAAACTGAGATACATATTTTGCAGAACAAGTACAAGCTGTATTATGTTCTGCTGTTATACATCTGCTTCTATTAAATCCATAGTTCATTTAACAAAAATCATGACATTGGGAAACTGCAGTATCCAAGAGAGTAATAATATCACTACAGTGACTCTGTACAATTCAGTCTTGTCAACATCAGTCATTAAATAGAAAACCACTTTTATTAGTTAATCCTGACACACTAACATATGACAATCAGCTTGATGCAAAAAAAAGTAAAAAAAAACCCAAAAATCCAGCAATTAAAAAGCTGCTTGACAGGTTCATGATACAGATTCACAAGGAAGATTTTGTCAGCTAGAATTGTTATTTTAGTGTCATTAAATAGCAAAATACTAACTCAACCAATATTGTTTTTAATTCTACAGTGACAATTGGTATGCAGTAAATAAAACCCTTCTCTTGTTCTCATCAAGCACAAACCTATGCTCACAATGCCCCATTGTCCATGATGATGGTAGAATGCAAAGGTGTACCAATAGCTACATGACTGTGAATGGATTCAGGGAAGGATGGGAAAAGTCAACAACACAGGAAAAGTGAAGTACTCATTTATATCTTTTGAGATCTCCTAAGAATCCCCACCAGCTGATGTGAAGATGGCATGGTTATAAAAGTGCTCTGAAGGCTTCTTTTACAATCTCAAACTTAACTAGATATGAAACTTTGTGTGCCATTTTGCACCACACAGCAAATGATCATTAGTCCAGATTTAACTTGTAGAACAAGGGTATGGGGATCAAATAGCTCCCCAGACAAAAGTTAAGTTCTGCTTTTCCACCCTTATCTCTTACAACAATAAATCCTTCCAGATGAACAAAAATATTTGTGCAAAAGGAAGAAGAAGATGACAGCTTACTATGTTTTACACTGATATCTCTTCAGAGGTAAATTAGAATAGGGAAATATGTCATCGATTCCCCCTCTTAATAGGGGAAAGACAAACCATTTTAAGA